GTATCCTGGACCTGTCACTTGACAGGCATTTCTCTTCCTCCCAGAAGTGTACTCTACAATAACAGGCTATAGGCTCAAATCACCAATCTATAATGCATGTGTTTTTTGCCATAACAATCATTATTTCCAGCAGTGTGACTGCTATTTTTAGCTTTCATTGCTGGAAATAATGATCATTATGGCAATGATTGTTATGCTTGGTGAATTGAGCCTTCTGCCAGACCTTCAGCAGAGGCAGCAGCTGCACATATACTGAAGGTTTCTGTCGTACTTCAGCAGAAGCCAAGTGCTATAAAGTCCATGGATGAGAATGAGAAAGCTGAATAGCTTTCACAGCCACATCCACTAGGGAATATCAGAATACTTAATGTGACCTGTGAGTAGATCCTGGAATCGGGGCCCTGATTTCTCATGCCATAGGAAGGATTGGTTTCAGTGTAGTGGATCCTGAAGCTGGAGAGCTGAATATGTAAACATATGGATACCAATAAATTATGGTTAGTGTGAGGGTTATTATTAAAGTAACAGAGGGTTGGTGCAGGGGTTACAAGGAAGGTGAATGTAAGGGTTAGGGTAACAGGAAAATATAAAATGATTATAAATATACTACGATCTTATTACCACTCATGTTACGCCTTCCATTAACATAATAGTATAAAATAAACAAATGTCACAAAAATAAATCCCAAAGCTCCCCACTCCGCCTGTGCTAATCACTCTGGTGCCTAAACCTTCAGACTGTAACCTCTCTATCTGAAAATGCAAACCTTGTAAGTCCCCCTACTTCTAGTTGCTGGTAATTATGAAATATTAGCACTAGCTTGAAAGTTGTCATTAGCAGCCAGGCCGAGTGGCCATCTTTATTACCATGGTCAAGTGGCCTTGAGCTACAGCATGTTGCTAGTCAGTGGGAGGAAAAAAAGCCAGGTACTTATGTGAAGAAGGAATTCTTCTTCACTAGGTCTATAAGTTTTTAAATGTAGTTTTATATCTCTTGAGACTTCATTGTTTGACTGTAACTTTAGGCTGAACATAACAAAAAAGTAATTCAGTTATGTGTGTAAATTTCAACTTGAGCTATTGAAGTCTTTCCTGGCTTTTTTCAACAGGCTATAAAGAGATAAATGAAAAAGAGCCAAGAGCTCCATCTTCTGGCTACAAAATACAATATACCATTATACAATATTTACCTAATAAAAAAGAAAACATATTTTTAAATGTTACTTTTTAGTCCTGCCCATAATAAAGGAAGAAAACAACTACATTGATTTGATTGTTGCAAGTAATATTTATGGAATTCATATGTATGAAAGTAATATGTATGAAGTCCATGTTATTGAATGTGAAGCGTTATAGAAAGAGAATTAGGTCAGAATAACTCAAATTAGGACAACCCCTTTATTTGCCTCCATTTGAATTTGTTTACTTTATGAACCAGCCATTGTAAACAGTGGTTTGTCTGCCTAAGGGCTCGATTACTTATCCGAAGCAAACTCAGATGTTCTGGTGTTGTCATATCCAAAACTGAACTGAGTACAGAACTCAGGCCAAGCATATGTGCTCCCGCTTGATCTCCTTGGAGAATAGTTTATGGCATATAGAAACAATTAGTTACTGAACATGAGCAGATGCAGCGTCTGCAGGTTTCCTCTCACATTCACTCTACAGTCCATGAGAGGTGTTTCCTTTTGTGCTGGATAAAAATGTGTGGCTGTTTGGCACTAGGGTAAACGATCATCTGTTAAATAAAGAGTTAGTAAGAGATTATTGTCATAGGGCTGCCAGGAGGCCATGTGCAGCGGGCATGATTTACTGATGCAGACACAATGTGCGGCTTCCAAATGATCTGGATCGACAGCTGCAAGGGGCAGGGCCATCACAACAAAGGGACAGGGTGTAAATTATTAATAGGAGATTCCCCATTCTCCTACTGTCCAAAATAAACAATGTGGATGGTCTTAGAATCATATTTCATGCCACCCAAGGCATTTTACTGTGTTTTATATCTCTTTGTACACCCCACAAGCAGCACATAATAGCTTGTGTACTAGTATATTTTAGTGACCCATATTTCTACTAATGTTCATTGTTCTGTCTGTGTCTTGCTGCCGCCTCGGGCTTCTTCTGAGTCACTAAGTGTTTCTCTTTACTTCTTATCTAGGCCAGCAGCTATTGATATTCGCCCAAGACCCACTGAAGCGTAAGGAATTAGATAAGCAGTAAAATCCCATAGGACAGAGTAAATGAGTAGGTGCCTCTGGTCATTATGAGTTGGCATTTACTGGTGTCGGGTACTAAACAAGCTAAAATCTGTTACACTTCGCTTCTGAGACTTATCTTGGGAGTTAGCGCACAATTTCTGCAGAGGGCCTGTGTAAGTTGTATCAGTTTGTTTTCTTGTCTGTATTGCTTCAAACTGAAGGTACAGCTACTATAAATAAATTTGGTTTAAATTGTGTTTTCATTCGCTCAGGTGACCTAATATATATAGACTGCCTGGCCAAAAATAGTCACATGCTATTTTGTTGGCTCCCCTTTAGGTTTGATATCACCATGTATTCACCATGGTATCATTTCAATACGCTTATGCAATGTCCCAACATTTCTCTCTGTCCAGAGTTGCATACATTTTTCACCAAGATCTTGTAGTGATGATGGGAGAGTCAGACCACTGCGAAAAGTCTTCATCCCAAAGATGGGTTAAGGTCTGGACTCTGGTGGATTGGCATGTGTGAAAATAATGTCTTATGCTCCCTGAACTGCTCTTTCACAATTTGAGCCAAATGAATCCTGGCATTGTCATCTTGGAATATTTCCGTGCCATCGGGGAAGAGAAAAATCCATTTGTGGAAAAACCTTGTTGTTCAGTATATTCAAGCAGGCAGCTGACCTCATTTTTTGGGAACACAATATTTCTGAATCTAGACCTCACCACCTCAAGCAACCCCATATCATAGCATTGCCCCCACAGGCTTCTACAGTAGGCACTAAGCATTATGGGTGCATCACTTTCACTTCTCTTCTTACCCTTGCGTCCATCACTCTGGAGCAGGGTAAATCTGGACTCATCAGACCACATGGCCTGTTTCCATTGCTCCAGAGTCCGATCTTTATGCTCCTTAGCAATTTGAAGCCTGTTTTTTCAATCAGCCTCACTAATGATGAGTGGTTTTCTTAGGACTACACAGCTGTTTAGTCCCAATTCCTTGAGTACTCTTCGCATTGTATGTGTGGAAATGGTTTCACTTTCACCATTAAACATAGCCATGAGTTCTACCGTTTTTTTATGATTTAATTTTACAAAATGTTTAATTAACCTTCGATCATGATCACGCAAGAATTTTTTCGAACCACATTACTTCCTCAGAGATGATGGTTCACCACTATCCTTCCAGGTTTTAATAATGCGTTGGACAGTTCTTCACCTAATTTTAGTAGTTTCCGCAATCTCCTTATTTGTTTTTTCTGCTTATTGCACCCTTCTAAAACAGAGTTACATCTTTTCCATGACCACAGGAAATGTCTTCTGACATGGTTGTTTAAGAAATTAGAAGCTACCTATTGCAACAGTTAGGGTTAAAGAACTTGTTGCCAAATGAAACATATTCATCAATGCAGTAATTATCCAATGGAGGCTCTTACCTATTTACTTAGCTGAATCCAGGTGGGGACTTTTTTTTCGGCTAGTGTATGTATTATGGGTGAGACACTATTACACAATGTGTCCTCTGGCACTCATCAAGATGGCAGAAGAAGCCAGGAAGTTGTGGTTTATTCATCACACAAAAGTATGAAATAGCTCTTTTGTTTCCACTACTTCTTGACAATTTTAAGACTTTTTTAGAACTCTGGCTTCAGTGGAAGTTAGACATCTGCATGGTAAAAAGACAAATACACCTTTATTGATCTGCCCCAGGATTAGTAATTAGTTTACATGTTCAAGCATATAAAGTTACGTAATTCATATTATTAAAAACTACTGAAATTGAATGACACTTACTACAGTAACAGATCTGTCTGTACCATTTAAAAGGTTAAGTACTGCTACATAATGTTGAGATTTTACTGAAGCATTCTATTTACAGTACATAGTTCATGAAGTAACTGAAGTCTTTTTTAAGTAAAGTTTTCTCTCAAAAAGGAAACATAAATATGTTAGGGGCATATGTTCCCATGCTCCAGGGACGTGTGGTCAGGTGAGGCAGAGCCTCACCTAGTATTATGAAGAAAAAAGGTGTCAGCTTCAAGTCTGAAGACGACAGCTTTTTCTACATTCAGTGCGGCTTGTTACAGGTTACACAGCAGCGAAAGACTCCTCGCTGTGTAACCTCTCATGGACGGAGCGCTGCCTGTTAATTACAGGCAGTGCTGTATCCGGCTTTTGGCAGGTAGTTAGGTTACACAGCAGCGGGCTTCCCCACTGCTTGCGTAACCTAACTTGGCGAGGCAAGAGCTGTCACAGCCTCTACTCTGTGTTAGAGGCATGAGCTCTGGATGGCTTGGACTAATGGTAAAGTGCCATTGGTCCAAGCTGTCCAATCAAAAAAAAGAAAAAAAAAACCTACTGAGACCATCAATCTTGATGCCTCAGCAGTGACGAGCAAGTGAGGGACAGGGAGGCTCCTCCCTGGCTCCTCCCTTCCTCCTCCCCACACAGCTTGGTTACCGAGCTGGGGCAGGACGGGCGGAGCTTTGGCTGGATGGGGCGCAGTCTCGGCAGGACAGGGCGGAGCTTAGACGGGCTTGGGGGTGCCTCACCCAGCACAGAAGGCACAGCACGTCACTGCCATGTTCTGCAATATGGAAGGCCAAAGTTACAAACAAGCAGCAAGGAATGTGTTTATGTGTAGAGAAAGCACCATAGAAAGAACCAGGTTACCCAGTAACATGCTCAGTTAGTCTCTTTATATCTTACATGATAAACGGCCACATTGTGACAAACTAAAACTGTTACAATTACGAATATTTTTTTCTAAAAAATGTGATTCTTATTGTTACAGGTACTACATGCCTAATTGCCTTGCTGTCCGACAAGGAGCTCACGGTTGCAAATGTTGGGGATTCACGCGGAGTCTTGTGTGACAAGGATGGAAATGCTATTCCCTTATCACATGATCACAAACCATATCAGCTAAAGGAAAGAAAGCGGATTAAAAGAGCTGGTAAGATGCCGTCTGTCTTGATAGATTATATATATGCTTAAACTTTCACTCTCCGCTGCAGGCTGTCCAGGAAGATATACACTTTACTAAGCACATGTTAAAGGATATCTTAATATGTTGGATGGATTATGATGGAGCATAGCTTCTTCAGTTTATATATTTTAGACTGACAGCGGAATAGAAACAGTGGGGTATTCATCTATAAACGCTGGTAAGCGTTGGAGGAATCTGTTATATTTTCTTTGTTTAACTCGCAGGTTGAACGAAGAAAATGTACATGTGTATATCCAGCTTAATTATATACATCAGGCAGCTCAGACCGGTTAGTGCAATTAGTGGAAGGTGGTAAAGGAACAAGGGTTGAAACGGTTTGAACTGTGACCAGTCCAAGAGGTTTTTACGTGTATCACGCAAAATACTGATACTATAATTCAAAAGTTAAAACTGTAAGCTACCACATTTAATTTTGTGTTATTACACAATTATTTGCTCCTTATACAAAAACATTGATTCATTTCCGTGTTATATACAGCAAAGTCAACAGCTGAATTATGAAAACTAGGAACAGCTGGCACCACTATTGTTCATGTCTCCTTTATATAAGTACAGCTGGCAGCCGAGAGGAGGGGGCAAGTCTTTTTATATTATTATTACAAATCAAAAAGAAAACCGTTATCTGTTCTCCAATCTGATTATCTGCTTTTCTTTTCACCTACTGTATATCTAACAGAAAGCAGTTATTGCTATGTAAATGACTTGATTCTGCTATTCGTTTATTGAAAGCAATGACACAACTGCTAAAACATATTAAAGTTCAGCTTCATGAGCCGTGGACCAAAATTCAGTATACTGATTTAATTAGAGACATTAAATACTAAAATATACACCCATGGCCACCCCTCATGAACATCCTCTTCAGTCTGACTGCAGACCAACTAAATGTGGAAATGCTGCTTGTGAATGACCATCCTTCTTTCCTGGGCTGTACTAGATTCCTTTGCCAAACAGACACTACTTAACTTCCTCTAAATTTTAGGGAATTTCAAGCAATATTAAATGTAAGAATAGTTTTAATTCATAATTTTGGCATAATTAAATAGTGTCCTTCTGAGGAAGAGCAGATGGTCAGTTTACATAGACCAGTTCTGTGGCAAATACTATCTAAAATCTTGACACCCGTAGATCACCAGAAACAGGAGTCTAGACAGCCTGGAATAATTTAGTAAGTGTTCTGGTTTTGTACATATTTCGTATTCTTTATTTATGTTCAGAAATAAATAAGTACAATTTTTAAAATATATTATTTTTAGTCACAGTTTATGTAAACCCAACAACTAATCTCTTGATGCCATGTGTTGGGGATACGTAGGCTCCCACCAATGATTAGAAACCTTGCCAGCTATGACATTGAGGTCACATGGAGAATGGCTTCACTGCAAAAAAAATAAAAATAGGCATGCAGCTGTCACTGAAGATGCCACTGCAGCCTAAAGGTGTCAGTGCTCATCTGTTCAACACTGTAATTGTCAGATTAAAGGAGAAGTATGAGGTGAGTGCTTTTCACTCACCTCATAGTTCTAGGCGACCTGTGACAATGAGACTGTCACAGGTCGGCTCAGTAGATCGGGAGGTGAGCCAACACATACCGGCGTTCACTCACCTCTCGATCCTGTCACGGCTCTCTGTCGTGACAGGGGAGGGGCTGGATTCCCCCCTCACCGCTCCAATCCACCAGCGCTGACTGGCGGAACGGACGGGGGCGGGTACAGCTGGCTCTGCCTCTAGATAGGAAGAGCCAACTGTCAGTCACACAGCTAGGCGGATCCCGGCACAATTGTCGGGATCCGCTTCAGCTGCGGCATCTCAGTGCTACAGCTCGCGGTATACTGAGCCTAGGGTGACGGGAGGACGCTAAGGAAAAGCCTTAACCCCATAGTTCTACTTTAAGTTAGTTAAAAAAAAGTAAAAAATATATAATAAATTATTTTTATATATGTATATATATATATACAGTATACTATTAATATATATAAATTAGTCATAGTTATTGGTCAATTAATGCTGACACTGCTAAATTCAGTCATGTCATTTGTACATCTACACTTTTGTTTTGCACCTAGTGATCCTACCATAAAGGTTCTTGTGTGGGCAATTTCTGGCAAAGGTTAACAAAGCTCAGTCACTGTCTCTCAGTAGTGCGCCTGTGTTGCTACCTTGTCACATATGTCTATGATCAAGGAGTGGCTATTTTAACACATATTAAGCAGGCATGGTTGACTGTTATCACCATCAGGAAAACCGTCCTGGGATGAACCACGCAGCCATTGCTGAAGTATATGCATGGAGACAGGAAATGGCTGCGAGGAAACCTGCAGAAGGATGTCAGCAGTGAAACAAGTATTTTATTAAAATGACATTTAAAGGAGAACTATGGGTTTAAGGCTTTTCCCCATAGTTCTCCGTAGGGTAACGGGAGGACACAAACTAGCATCCTCCCGTCACCCTAAGCTCAGCTGTAGCTCGCGGTATACTGAGATGCTGCAGCTGAAACAGATCCCGACAATTATGTCTGGGTCCGCCCAGCTGTGTGAGTGACAGCTGGCTCTGCCTATCTAGAGGCAGAGCCAGCTGTACCCATCCCCTCCCCCGTCCGTTCCGCCAGTCAGAGCTGGAGGATCGGGGACGGGGGAATCCAGTCACGGCTCTGTGCCGTGACAGGATCAAGAAGTGAGCGAACGCCGGTATGTGTTCGCTCACCTCCCGATCTACTGAGCCGACCTGTGACAGTTTCATTGTCACAGGTTGGCTACAACTATGAGGATGAGTGAAAAGTACTCACCTCATAGTTCTCCTTTTAATAATGATGCGCAGTGTTTAGCAAACTAAATGTCATTCAATCTTCCGTCTACTTTAAATATAAAATATTGGAAATGTATGGGTCTCCCCAGTATGTATTTACTGGAATATGTGTAGAGTATTGAGCATGTCAAACGTAAGGAAAGAAGTTCATAGAAATGAAGCATGTTTGCTTTATTAGATAAGGGCCGAGTGAATCAATGAACGCTATACTTTTCTCACCCTTAGCCTCCCTCCAGAGCAGGTACTGCCAAATGACAACGTCCCCTCTGAACTGTCCGGCAGTATGATAAAATCAATAAGCAAGTTGCGTTGTGTTAATGAGAGTATTTCCCCACAATGTGATGTCAGCGTTTTACAAGTCCCCCTAACAACAGGTTTATCACCAAACTCCCATGTGTATGCTGCTAATAAAAGAACAAGATAACATTTTCTACACGTTATGCGTTCACTTGTATTGAAGGCTTACGTGGAATGTTAGTAAACACATAAAACTTACTTATTGCCCAAAACCTAATAACTGAGCAAACAAACTGGAAATCTATTAAATCCTGAACACATTCTATGTAGTTAGATATGACCTGAAAACCTAAACTTTAATAACCAGCATTCACGTTGTGATGTTTGGTGTAGGTGATGTTCTCATTTATTCCCTGGGATTAGTCCCCGTAGGTTTAGGAAGCATCCCAAAGATTTGTGTGCACTGCTGGAATGTGCTGTGATCAGCATAACATTTGGATACGGCTCAGTCTAATACTCAATCTTTTGTTTGTCGGATTTCTGTATGGGGGGAAAAAAACATAAGCGGAAAGTAGATGTAGAAGTAAATAACATCATATAGGAGTACTGCTTAGCATATATACATGTGGGTGTCCTCTCTTCCCTGGCTGGTATGCTGGAGTGTGTTCTATATGTACAGGAAACACCTGAAACTAATATGAATATGTCCTGTAAGACTATGTCCAACCTACTTTAACCATAGCATACTACTGCACACCTCGATATAATGCATGCATTTCCCCCCTCAGTCCTGCGCCCGGGGCAAGTGACCCCCCCGCACCCCCGGTTGTTACGCCACTGATGCATTGGATACATAAAAAGTTTATTTTGGAAATCTAAGTTCACTCAGTACCAGGCAGCAGCTGCTACGGTTAACAATAGCTTGGGCTGTATAAGAAAGAGAAGTTAATGACTCACATCTTTGCTTGATGTGTTCTCTAATGAAATCAATATAAATGCATAAAAAATCTCATCTCAGCACATGTGATAAGATGCATGTGAACACGTCATAAAGCATCTAAACTCACCACGATGTGAGTTGACATCCAATACAAAGTGTGTTACGATGCGCATTGACATCCAGTACAAAGTGCATTGCAGCACTAATTGAAAACGCACATTGACATATGTTGACATGCATTTTAATGTGCTACTTCCATTGCTTTCCATGGAAACTGCATTGGCAGTTCCAGGCTGAGGGCCAATTCACACTAATCTACAGTGCTTTTCTGTGCAGGCTACTGTCCGGTGTGTACAAAACACAAAAATTCCCCAGCCTCAACCTGCCAGCTAGCCTGCAACCAAACAAGTAGCCCTGTCAACAGTATGTGTTAAAAAACCAAACAAGTAGCCCTGTTGACAGGGCTACTTGTTTGGTTGCAGGCTGGCTGGCAGGTTGAGGCTGGGGAATTTTTGTGTTATGTATTGTTGTAAGCCTTCCCAATGTGCGCCCTGCTATAAAGGCCGGTTATAGATTCATGCATGTACCATTTTTTCTACTGTCCGGTGTGTACAGGCAGCAGAGGGGGGTCTTTACACTGTTTTAAAGCATCACACTGTTTACATTTTTTTATTTTTTATTTTATTGAAGTGTCATAAATGAATACATTTTTGACATGCTACAATATATAGTAACAGTATTACTTTTCAGAAATCCTGTTATTATTAAAAAGCAATTCAGTGACTTTGCCTAGGCTGAGATTATGACATCAGTCTGCAGCAAAGAGGAGGAAGCATTTCCTCAGGGCTAGTTCAAACCAATTACGGTGCATTCTAGAGCGGTAGCTGCTGGAACAAACTGTAATCACACACTAAACTCCCCCCTTAAGTCTGGGGCGGGAGGGGGCGTGGTGGTACATTGAAGT